AACTACACCACTAGATGCCGCTAAATCATACACACTGGACCTTTAAGAAATTATTTTCCAGGAGGTTTTCTTGAGAATTCAGGACAGCACTTGCTCTGCTGAGAACCGTCTCAGGGAAGTGATATCTGAATATCCTTCCTTGTATAAATAAATGTGGCCTTTTCAAAGTCATTCTATGAAGATGAGACAGATTCCATACTGCGTTAGTGTTCAGAGGCTGCAGGTGAGGTCCTTCTGTAGCCATGCAGTGATAGATATATTAAGCTCATAAAAGTCTGAAACCAGTTAAGATGGGAGTTGAGCCCTTTCGTCAGCGGGACACTACTCTCATCAAAGCAGATGTGGGTGATACATGAGCTTAATAAGCGCTCCACAAGTCCAGACACACCGAGCGGAGACAGAAGAAACTGAAAACACCAAATTACTCGCTTTAACCAATTTCATTTGTTTTGGCTGTAACATAAAGAATGGCCAAATATCACTTCTGAGGCTGTTCTAAGCAGACAGACAGGCAATGAACTTATTTATTTGTATTTCATAATAGTTGCAGCTATAGCGCTGTTTTATGTTAATTCTAATGTTGATTAACACAAATGGCAGTGGAGCCCATAGGTTTAGGAATATCTCTTTATGAATTTTTGCATTTAGGGTTACTTGAAATATGAACAATGCATTTTGACTGAAGCTGAAGTTAAACCTTAAAAACAAGAGCAGTTCCCGAGATAGAAAATGTCTCATTTTCCAGAAAAAACAAACAAATCCCTCCCTCTGCTTGCATCTCTGGAAAAAATAGTAGAGTAGAGGTTAAAATAAATACGCAACTAGGTTTACATAGACCTAAAAAACAATTTTCCGGGACAACATAGATTATTTCCAGGATATCTGGTCATTTTACTCAATTTCCAGGTGTTTCCATGACTGGAAAACTGATCTCTAAATTTCCAGGTTTTTCAGGATGCGTGGGAACCCTGTTAAAGCAGAAATATTTCTTCAAATTGTGAAAAAAGGTACTGGGATATTCAACTTAAAAATTTAGCGATGAGCGTACCAGACAACATCTTTTTAATGGAAAGACAAAGGGGCATAAAAAACTTAATGGTGTTAACAGTTAATGGCAAACAAACAGGAAATTGGCTACAAAAGCTTTAAAACATCATGGTATCTGGTAGGCAGTCATCTCTGCTTTGGTGTGGGCAGAGTCAACAGGGATACCATTGCCATAGCCTTGGGGTAACATTTTAGCCTTAAAATTAGTTTGCTTCTATTTTTGTACAGACTAGTCTAAGAGCAAAACTTGTGCAACCAGCCCCACAAGGTTGCTGCAGTCTAACCGGGGTACATATGAGCTTGTGATATGATTATGTAAAAGAGCGAGAAGCTGTATAAGAGGTCCTGTCCAGTGTTTGGAGATATTCAGACCCAGAAGCTTCTGATTGCCCACTGAAGCTTCTGATGCCCACTGCTACTCCTGAACATGCAAGATGGAAACAACTCGATCTCTCTTCTAAGGTCAATCAAAAGGTTTTGCAGTTCTTTCTTTTACTGCTACAGTTCAGCAGTACACACACCAGTAGATCAGGTTAAACAGGATGTAGGCGCCGGGGAAGATCATGCGAGAGTAGGTGTCGATGGCGTGGGTGTTTTGGATGATCCGGAAGCCACGGATGCCTTTTTTCTTGGTCCCAGTGGGCTCGTTGTCCAGGGAGAGGTGCACCACCATTCGCTCCTGTTTCTCTGACGCATCCTCGGCCGCCATAGAGGCCCTCGTGTACCCTGCCAAGCTGTTGGCATCTGCCTCGCTGTATGTACCATCCAGCATCATGGTCCTGGCGTGGGACATGCCACAGGTGCAGGGGAGTGTCTGGGACTGGGTGAAAGGGAGGAAAGAAATCAAGATGAATAAATAAGTTGAAAGCACCATTTAGAGACTTGCGCAATTTCTGAAGAGGGCTCTGTACCTGTTCCCTGACCTTTTCTCTGAGCTTGCGGTCTTTACCATCCCTCACTGTTGTCAGGTAGTTGACGGCAGCGTACTCAAGCACGGAGAGGAAGACAAAGACGAAACTGACCCAGAGGTAAATGTCCACAGCTTTAATGTAGGAGACCCTGGGCATGGAGGCGTTGACTCCGGTGATGATGGTGGACATGGTGAGCACTGTGGTTATACCTGAGGAGAACATACAACCTTGTATTAGCAAGGCAGTCAAGAAGGATTTTAGGGAAATATGAAGAAGCTCTATTTTATCTCTAGAAACTAGAAACTAGGGAAACTTTGCTCGGTCAGAAGTGATAAAATCTATTCTTCAACAACTTCAGAGATAACATAAAATCGTCAGTTATTAACTGTGATGCTTTCACAGTGAGGATTTTTAGGACAAATCTCAGGAGAAGATGTGTGAACATTTCCATTCAGCAGATACGCCTGTAGGTGCAGAGCACAGTGATAGTAGAGTCCAACTTTGTGTTGTGCCCCGTAGGCTTCTCACCATATCTTAAGCTAATTTTTTTTGGTTCTTGCCTCTAGGACATTGCAGGAAGGAGGTTTTGTAATCAATAAACATTTACCTAAATGCAATTTCCTTTTTAAATGTTTTAAAAAGCTCTCTCTGTGTTACAAAAGGTTTGTCTCACTGCGGAGAATGGGGGGAGAGCATCAAGGATCAAAACCAAATGTCATGTTTTAAATACAGAGCTGGAGTCAGCACATGGTTAGCTTAGCTTAGCATAAAGACTGGGCACAGCTATTGTGGCTCTGTGCTAAAAAGCTGAGTGCTTAACATGTTGTAGGTTATTTGTCAAATATATAAATAGATATACATTTAAAAAGTTATATGCTGGAACTATTTATTCAGCAACAGCAGTGTATTAATTCACCCAGCACTTTTGTAGTAGTTTGAGTCTCCGGCTGTAGTGAACGTTGCCAGATACACTTTTAGTATAGTCTTTTGGTTTAGTTTCAGTATATGTCTGTGGACTGGCACAATAGTCACAAACCTGTAACCTCACTGGGGCAACAAGACTTCAGTATGCTGCACAGAGTCAGCAGGAAATACCTCCACCTTGTACAGTGTTGCTTATCTAAAAAGTCATTTGCGTACAGAATAAACAAGCAAGATTGAATGTGTTAATTAATCCGCTTTAGAAGTGTTGGTTTCTTATTTACTCTCAGACAGAGCCAGGCTAGCTGTTTTCCCCCGTTTCCAGTCTTTATGTTAAGCTAAGCTAACCACGTTCCCACTCCACCTACGCAGAGATGAAACTGACATCAATCCTCTCAGCTCACTCTCAGAAAGAGAGCAAATGAGCTAATTTCCCCCAATGTTAAGCCTTCAGTTAATAGCGTTTTCGTGTGCTAACTGGGTCTCAGGTAACTGTGGACACACTAAATCTGAACAAGCACGATGGTCATTGTTTTGCATGTGTTCTTACCTAATGAGACTCTGGCAGGTACGGCCCTGCGGTCGATCCAGAAGGACACCCAGGACAGCATGACCATGAGAGTGGCGGGGAAGTAGGTCTGCGTCTGTGGCCCGCCGCAGGAAGAAGAAGATGTGCCGCCGCAGGAGTGAAAGTGTTGATGTACAGACGGATTTACAAGGCCTGGGGGAAGACAGGGAGGAAGCAAAAAAACACAGCGGATGTTCACAAATGATTTTATCTTAGTCTGTCAAGCTGTTAAAATTGCCATGATAAACACAAAAGCAGGTGAGATGGAACAATTAATATTGCACAGACGGATAGAGAAATCTTGAGGAGGTGTATGGAAAAACAAAGACCAAGAGCAAACAAAACAACAGATGAATAGGAGGGAGGAGGAGATAATTTGCTTTTTGGGATGGAAAATCTAAGACAGCAGAATATAGCCTAAGGTGAAGAGAATGGGCCAATAAGAACAGGTGTTAGGAAATACATAAATATATAAATTATAGGACAATGGTGTGTTTTTCACATCACTGTTGTTAACTCCTGGATTACTATATAAAACATTTCTCAGCTTTTCTCTGGGATTACAAGTGTTAAAACTCTTGGGGTTGAGTGAACAGCTTTTATACTGATTTTTCCCTACCTTTAGTAGCACTATTTCTATAATCTCTGATTTGCCTGTTGGTTCAGTGTGGACTGTGTAGTGTAAGCCAGGCAGTGTTGGGTAGGAACTCGCCTCCTATATAGTCGGTCGCACTTTTTTATTAGTCTGGATGGCCCATGTAAAAACACCACGGTCCTTGAATAAAAAAAACCGAGAACACAGAACGTCTCGGGGAATGAGGATCTCAACAAAACCCATCGGGGAACGCAGGCGTCGGAGGGGGTGGTGGGGGTCGTGCAGGCGC